GCTCCCATGAGTCGGGGGGGAATGGGGGTTCTCCCAGAACCAGGATGGTGCTTCCTGCAGTGGATAGGTGTATGACCCGGGGCTGGGTGAAGGTTGGTTGAGAAGGGCTCTGTGTCTGAGTGGCGCCCCCATTTCTTGCCCTGGTCACCCCAGTCCCACCCTCTCAGGGGCGATGTGCCTGTGTGTACATCCTGAGCGGCGTCTGGGCTCTCCTGTGCTGCCAACAATAGCCTGGCGCCCCTGCTGACTAGGACAAAGAGCGGCCAACCCTTGAGCAGGAAGCCCCACCAGCAGGGTCCCCAGGCACGTCCTGAGCATGCCTGGCAGGCCTCTCACAGGGAGAGGGTACTCAGGTCTCAGGAGAGGGTACTCACGGTTGTGGTGAACTGGCTGTGGAGCTGCTGCTGCGAGCCCCTCCTGGGGACAGCAGGGCAGGCGCTCTGGGGGCCCTCCTCAGAGAACAGCCCTGGGAGCCTGAGGCCACCGGCCCCCAACGACGTGCACTCAGTCACTGCAAAGAGGGGCTGGGTTAGGGGTGGCTGGCCCCCTTGCCTCTGCACGCAGCACTCAGGGCCCCCTGAAGCGTGTAAATAGAGAGTGAGGCATGTGTTATGCACGCAGAGTTATGACGGGACAACTGTGAGGCTGGGTCACAACAGATGGGACCGTGCTGCCGGAGCAAGCGGACACCCTTATGAGCAAGTGTCTCCTGACCCTGCTTTTCTGAAATCAGAGAAGACTGGGAGGGAGGTGCTCAGGTGACCTCTCCACCAGCGGGACGCCTCTGGCTCACATCAGTCAAAGGGGAAAAATAAAAAATGAGGCCCAAGAAGGGCCACACGGCTTAAATAAATAGGACAGGATGAGGGCTCGGCCCTAAAGGGCTGCTGGGGGCCCCAACTGTATCACCACAGGCGGAGCCACGGCCGTGGCCCTGCTGCATAGGCACAACCTCCGTGTGGCCGGTGTGGGCTTTCCCACACACTTCTGCGTGGGGATCACAGGGCCATTTCTGCACAGAGCTGACGACGGCTGGGCAGAGCCCTCCCGCACAGACTCTTGCCTGAGTCTTACATCGCAGGAGAAGAGAGAGCCCCACCTCCAGACCTGGGCTTCACTGGGAGATGCACCAGCCCACGTGGGAGCTAGGGAGGGCGGCACCAGGAAACCGCAGTGGCTGTGGGCTGGCGACGTGGGCGTACCCCCAGCCACGCTCCCTGTGGGCCCGCCCAGAGCACAGGCCCGACGAAGGTGGCTGCTGCTGTTCTGAGCAGGTGCGGGGCACCTGGCACACCTGGGCACCCCCAGCAGACTTCAGGCACGATGCCTCCATCTGGGCAGACACGCCTTTGTGGTCAGCGGTGCCCTCGGAGGTGTTGTCATGGTGGCACAATGGGGGCTTGGGAGGACGTGTGTCCCAGGCAGTGTCGCTGAGGAAGGGCCTCACTGGGGCTGTGGGAAGGATTTCTGTGGAAAACCAGACACCTGTGACCCTCCACACCATGTGTGTGGTGATCCCCCACACACAGGAGACGAAAAACCAACCACCGTGGGCCCAGCCAACACACCCACCCCTCCACGTGGAGGCCGGCGCTCTCAGAATGCAGGCCTCTCCGTGCGCCATCGGACAAGGGGGGGACCCGTGTGGGTGGCTGTGAGGCCCGACAGCATGGACACGGTCTGCACAGCACACGTGTGTCAGTCACAGAAGGCTGCTTGTGCCCCATGCATACTCCTGTGGTCACGGGTATGCTGAGCCTCTGTCTATTTTCTCGTTAGTCTTTCTGTTCTCCTTCTCCTCTTTCTACATTCTTTTGGATTGAGCTTTTCTTAGGGTTCCATTTTATTTCTGCTGTTGGTATATTAGCTGCAAATCTTTGCTTTGTTATATTAGGGGTCATTTGGGGTTATAATGCATACCTAACGACTCACAATCCGTCCCTGGTGGTATTACACACCTCAGCAATCATATAGAACCACACAGCTGAGAACTGCCACATCGCCATCCGTTCTATGTACACATACACCATGGCCTCGGCGTGTTAACCCCGTGTTCTCTTGACACTGTGCTGTTCAAACAGCCACTGTCTCTTACAGAGACTTAAATAGAAGAGCCCTCCTTTCTTCAGCCTTTGTCCCCCCGTGTCACTGCCCTTCTCCTTGGAGTCTGCTGGTAAGGAACAGTTACAGCTTTTCATATGCACGAGCATGTTGTTTCGCTTTGTTTCACTATTCCTGAAAGACACATTTGTCATGTTGAACTCGATGGTTGTCAGACAATGCCAGCCCAACGTGTTGTCCGCCGTGAGAAGTCCCTCTGCACAGAACACGCCGGCTCCCCTGGCTGCTTTCAAGATGTCTGTCGTCACTGGGTTTCCACAGTTTACAACACGCATTCTGTGTGCTTGGGGTTCAGGGGTCTTCTTGGGACCTTGGGTTTACACCCTTCATCAAGTCAGGGAAATATTCAGCCATTGTTCCCTCAGAGTTTTGTTGTCCCTCCACTTTGGGGACGCTGGTACGTGTTTGTCAGGCTGCTCGAAGTTGTCACACAGCTCACTGCTCTTTTTCCTTGATTCTCTGTGTCATTTTGGACAGTTTCTACTGCTACATCACTAACCTTTTCTTCTGCCAAGTCTTACTTTCTGGCAACCCCACCCAGTGACATGTTCACCTCGGGCGTTGTGGCCGTTTATCTTGCTAAGCTTAGTCCACCCTATCTTCCCTGTTGTGACTTAATGTGGTGGACAGCAGAGACACAGGATGACGGTGTGACCACCAGGATCGGTGATTCTAACGGTCACGTCAGTTCCAGCTGACGTTGCCCGATTGATTACTGCCCTTGTTACGGTCTGTCTCCTACATCGTTGCAGGCCTGGTACGGGATAGTGTGAGTCTACCCTGCTGGCTGCTGGATGTTTCTGTGACCCTATAAACCTCCTTGAGGTTTGCTGTAGGATGCAGTGAGGTTACCGGCAAACGTCTTCCATCCGTGACGCGCTGGCAGCTCGGCAGCAGTGTCAGTCCAACACCCTCCCCTGAGCGAGCCCTTCCAAGGACCTGCAGCCGCCCCGGGATGGGGCTGCTGCTGTCTGTGCCGTGGGAGGCTCTTTAGTCTCCCAGAGGTTCAGGCCTGGGCGGCCTCCTCAGGTGCGGTGCTGACCAGGCTCTGCTGGGCCCAGACCCTAGAGGGCTCACACTGCATGGGGCTCCCCTGGTCTGTCCTCCTCCACTGGGGGTCTGAGACTCCCCTCACTGCACCCCTCTCAGGGCAGAAATCGGACCAATCACAGGAATGTGTGACATCACATTCCTGCCTCTCAGGTCACTACCTGTGGTGCTGGATGTCCTATGTCTCAAAGTCTTGATTCACATCTTTTGTCTGTTTAGGTTTTGTTTCGTCTTGTTTTTGTCTGCTTGCTTGTTTTAGGTCTGTCCCCTATTACCTCATTTTGGGTGGAAGTAAAAGTTTTTGGTTTGTTTTTTTAACAAATTTTTCTTTATAAAGAAAAATCAGAATGCGTTTGAAAACTTTTGG